TAGAAAAAACAATTAAATAATACTATACGGTTTAAAACAATATTAACTTTAACTTTATTAAGGATATTAAAATAATATTATGTGCAATATAGTTTGTAAAATAATTTGAAAAATATGACACATGTCAATAATTTGAAAAAAAATATATCAATAAAAAATGGCACATGTAAAATAAAAATAAATGAGGACATACTAGTACAAAAAGGTAAAAAAATAAAAATAACTGAGGACACATCAGTACAAAAAATTTGAAAAAATGGAAAACTAAGGAATGTTTTTTTTCTGAAACTATAGTTTATATTTTAGTTTTAATATTTTTAATATATATTGCTTTATTTTTTATTTTGTATAATTTTATATATTTTTATTTTTAAAAAATTCAAAGATGTATATATTGTTTTATTTCTATTTTTAAATTTTTAAAACAATAAAATCACTTACATATGAATATTTTAATCATTTAAAAAAAACTGTCAGTTTTATACCGTTAAATGTCCTACTATTGTCTTTTCTACTATTTGCATCATATCATTGTAAGTTTTTTTTTTTTTTTAATAAAAGTGTCATTTGATTGATAATAACCAAAAAGACAAATATAATAGGGATATTTATGCACCAAAGATGCATATGTTGGTAATATAATTTCGGGTTTGGAGGGGAGATTATTTTTGTTTAAGCCCTCTAAAATTTGATTAATTTAAAAATACCACTTTAAATAATAAGATCCTTAACCCCTTTTTGTTAAAATCCATCAGTAAAAATCTATTAAATTGGAAAAGGGTTATTTTACCTTCAACTTAAATTTCACAATTTATATGTAAAAAAACTGTAGAACTTTAAGGTGTGTTCTTTTATGAATTTTGTGTATCTGTTTTTCTTCTTTTTTAAATATTGAAAATAATTGGAAAAGATGAAAAAATGAAAACGTGTTTTACATGTTTGTCCGAAACATATTTAAAAACAAAAACAAATAAAAACATGTTTGTCTCAAAACACAAAAAAAAATAATGAAAAATATAAAATTAATCACCACCACAACCGTTAAAACCCCTTAAAATTATCACTTATAACGGTCGATTTCAGTTTGCAATTTTGTATTGCAAAATCTTAATTTAAACTGAGAACTGTTATTTTTAAAAAGAAAATAATAAAATATATAGAAAAATGAATATTATTTTAATTTTTAAATATTTGTATAAAAAGGTGGAGCCTATCATCTTTTAGTCTCTTCTGTTTTTTAGCTTAAACTTAAACAAAATAATAAATGATCGCAAATTACCCCTTTCCCAATGCAAAAAGAATAAAATGAAAACTCAAAATTTATAAACGAACGGGCTTTATAATTATTATACAAGTATGTATTCAAGGTTTAAACAAACACAGAGTGCAACTTAGGGCTAGTTTAGCATAGTTTCAAGTTTAATTAAAAGTAAACAACATTTTCCCACCCAAGGTTTGGCAAATCTACGTGCCCAACCCTAATTTCATAAATTGCAGATTCTCACCCTTAAATTAACAGAAAACTATTTAATGTAACAGTTAAAAGGGTAAAATAATCATTTCAAAGATGAAAATTTCAAAATAACCCTTCACTTCTCAAATTCACCCCACCGAAAAATTTTAAAATAACCCTTGACTTCTCAAATTCACCCCACCAGCGATTTCAGGCCATTCTGGCCTGTTCCCGGCACAGTCGACCTCTCCTAACACCACCATTACAATTCCCTTAACCCCCACATCAAAACCCCTAATCTCCCTGCCTGATTAAACCCCCCAATCGCCGGTCACCACTCTTAGTTTTAGTCGGCGTTTCATCCAAATTCTAGCAGGTCTCGGCACTGGAAACCACCTCCAACACCACCAATAGCATCACCAGCTTCTCCTTAACATTGTCAACCGCAATTGCTCGTCGATCACCTCCGCCTCTCCCTTAGGTTTTCCCCTTTTGTCGCACATTTCCAACCAAATTCTGACACCTTGCCGAGGTGCAATCAGATGGAAAAGTTAGGGGTTTTGGTGAGGAGAATAAGAGGATGTTGATGGTGGTGTCGAGGAGGTCCAATGGTGTTGGAATCAGGTTGGATTTTTGGCTTGGTGGGATCCTCTGGAGGTTATTTGAGAGAAATTTGAGATGTAGGAGTTATTTTGAGAGAAAGTAACGGTGTTAATTTAATGGTGGGAATTGCAATTTATGAAACCAGGGGTGGGAACTTGTCGATTCGCCAAACCTTGGGTGGGAAAATGTTGTTTACTCTTTAATTAATTAGCTTTTCCCCGAGTTTAGAAATAATCAGCTTTGAAAATAATATGTATTGTGTTTGGTGTAGACCTGGGCAAGGATCGGTCCCAACTGGGTCTGGGTCTGGGTCTGGGTCTGGGTCTAGGCCCGATTAGGACTGGTCCCATTTGGGACTAGTCACTCATGGGCCTGGGACCGGTCCTAGGCCCGTGAGAAATTTCAGGGCTCGGACTGGTCCCATGGACCTGAAAAATTTGATTCCACCCCCAACTCTTTTTATATTTAAGGGGTTAAATAAAATTATGTAGAGGGGTTTATGTAATTTTTAGGGGCTCGGGAAATTTTTTGTACCCCTGGAGATTAGTAAATTTTGTAAAATATCAATTTAACCTTCAATATTTTTGTCAATTTTAAAATTATAGAGGGGTTTTGGATATTTTTCAGATAACTTTTTTGAAAAAATGCAAAGCAGTTTGGGCTCAAGCTTGGGATTGGTCTTAGGCCCAGGCCTTGGAGGAGGACTTGATCTAGGGACCGTCCAATCCCTCCTCCATGGGCTTGGTCCAGGTTTGGGACCAGCCTCGTAGGACCGATCCTTGTGAGGACTGATCCTAGGACCGATTTTTTGGGACCGATCCCAAATGCCTAAGTCTAGTTTGGTAAATGTTATTTTTATAATTAATGTGGTTTCAAAATCTATAATTATGTGTTTGGTAAATTAAAATTTGAAATGGTTGTTGTATGTATAATGACCAAAAAAACCTTTTTATTTCTTAACATATTTTTCTAATTCAAAATTTATATAAATTTTGATAATTATTTAAAAATGTGTTAAAATTATTTGTATTAAATAAATTATTAATAATTCAAAAAATATTGGATTTGTTAGGCACTGGTCAACCACTAGTCAACATTGGTCAAACCATTGTTGACCGATGGTCAACGACGGCCAACAATGGCACGTTTTAGTCACAACTAGTTCCATTGGGACCGGATACTCCTGATCTAAGGAATTTGATGATTCACTAGATTCCAACTTTTATTTAGGCCACAGAAGGTAGACGAATATTTCGTCACCTCTTGAGGGAAAATAAGCGTCGAAATCAAGTGGAATACCAGATTCTTGTAGATTGAAAGTTTTCGGTCCTGATGGGACCAGTTTTGGCTTCAAATTGCTACTATTGACGAACATTGATCATCGGTCAACGGTGGTTGACCAACAATAACGCCAATAGCGACAATTGTTCAACACTAATAGTGCCATTTCTATTATTTTTAATTTTAAATAAATTATAAAATTATTTATTTAATAATATCAATTTAAGTTTACTGTGTAATTTGAAAGATTAGGTATAACTATATTTGTCAGTTTACAACGGGGAATCAACTTTAGAAATAATCTAATTTTTTAAAGCTATCAATCCTCGCTTTTAGAATCCATTTATAAAATTAATTTTTTTTATAATCAGCTACAAACTTAATATATTTTAAAAGTTATTTACCAAACACCTTTTTTTGTTATAGCTTAGGAAATAATTGATTATTTCTTAAACTACAACAATCTCAAACACACTCTTAACCCTTGCATCCACATGCATTATTCTAAGTTATGGATTTCATAAAATATAAATTCCAGAGTTTTTGTGCATATATGAATGTTTAATTACAATCATAATTAATAAAAGGTGTTCATCTTTGTCAAGAGTACCTGGCTATCAAGGAAAATGCATCCACAGTTATAGGGTTCATTTTGAACAAACTTCTTATAACACCACAAAAATTCAACAATTTCAGTACTCTGCAGCCCTAGCTCTAACATATTTCTTTTGATATTTATGCGTACAGTTTTTTCCTTCTCAGATATAAATAAGCTTCCTGACTCGAGACTGTTCTACCCATCATGCGCTATTCTTATTCCTATTATCACACAAACTATAACCATCAACCACCAACCACCAAGTTTATTATTTATACAGAGCCTGAATCCTCAAGCTTTGCTCAAGTTGCCCAGATTAATTATAAATACCTACCCAGCTCCCACAATTATTAATAGACACTAATGTTTTAATAACCAACCAGAGTGAAACCTATATTGCCGGTCAAACTGAGTGTCCAAAAGTTTAAAATTCACAATACACCCCCTAAATCTCCCGTTAAGTCTCTATAGATTTAAAATTTAGTATACACACCCCAAATACAAATTGGCAATCAACTGGTTGACAATGACGACACATAAATGCAATTTCAATCATCCCCTGAGCCATTCCCCAGAAAATCTACCCAAGATTTAACCAAAATCAAACTCTCACCACCGCTGGTGTAAACAACCCTCCCCATCATCATGAAAATACTTCTCTTAACCTCCTGACCAAAACCCATCTCACCCCACCCCTTTTCACCTCGCAAATCACCAGCAAAAGCCGACTGTTCCCACCATAGGTTTTTTTCGATTTTCGATCGATCCACTCACCGAAAATCACCTCTATACTACCATTGCACTCATCGACCCTTCCTCTTCAAAAACCCTAACATCCCAACCTTCAATTGTTCATCGATCATCATCCCAATTTCTAAGGTTTTCGGTGAATAAGAAATTTGGTAACCCGACCCAGTGAAGGCCCCAAGTCCCAGTTCAACCAACCAAGTCGGACCGGATTTTAAAACATTGCTGCACACACCACAGGAGTCATTTATTTATAGGCTTTTGGACATGAAGTTCAGAAAATTATATAATGCTTAACCCGAAAGCTTAAGCTATTAGGTGAATTTTCAAACATTAATATTTAAATCTAATAATACTGAAGTTGGATTACCTAGCGATTGTCAGTTTAGATACTAATAATAACAAAACCGGCAGAAATTAACTGAGTTTAGTACATAAATTCAAAAACAAAGGCAAACTTGTTTTCGGCTATAGATACTAAGGCATCGGCAGATCCTCCGTTTAGAATAAATGGCCATTTATTCTCAGTATTCTTCATTTGCTTCCACATCTAGTGAGGAAAGGGCAACCTGCAAGACATTCGAACAAAAGATGAAATTAAATGAATATATTTGCCTTATATCAAGCAGGAAGCTAAGCGAAAACAGAAGCACTTATATTACGATGCTGTTTGCATCGTTTTTGGGTTGAAAGTGTACAAAGACTGACTATGCATGTCAGTGTAGAATGGTTATGACAGGCGTAACGTGAAAAGTACTAAGAGGTTTGTGCTGCATCTTTGGGCTAGGATGGCAACGTGGGTTCATAAAATTTCGGCGCATTTGTTGCGTGGGAATGAAGCAATTTGTCTTGTGGTGTGATCATTAATTTTAGCAGTATGCATGGAAATGAAATTTAACAAACTAACCCCAACTTTAAGGAAGTATCAGAACTCTCATTGCAGGTATTGCCTCGTAAATGATTATTCTCTGTCTGCATGTCAAAAAACAATTAAAATAATAACAGTTCAATATGTATCTTAAAGACAGAAGAAACAGTCACTGTGAACTAATTAGAAAATAGGAAGCAAAAAGTACAAGGAATTTAGAATCTCTCACTCGCTTTTTCAAGTTCAAGTTCTCCTGCATCAGTTCAGCTCCCTGCATATATTTATTCAATAACATTAATTAAACATATATATGATAAGATTGTGCCGAGTACTTGGCCTAAGAATTTATGCTAGCTTGCTGTTTATCTCTTGCTAGGCTGATAAAACAATGATCAAAACTCTTAACGGCTTTACCTCTATCAATGTGAGTCTGCGGATATAATCTATGAAATACGGGTGCATGTTTCCTTAAATTTTCTCAGATTAAAGTGTCACTAATTCTGTCTTCATCTGTTTCCTGTTTCCAAAATTATAAACCCTAAATTCTAAAACATAAACCTAACAAACAAAAGCATGGGTGTGGGGAACAATCAAAACAAAAGAAAATCTATTTGTACTAAATAAAAGAAATCCAATCCCAGACGTCTCTCTTTTAGTACTCATTCTAATGAAATAAACAAACAAATTAAGGCCTGTGTATATATGAAACTAATTACATGAACCCTAGAACAACTAAGAGTTACATCTTACCTTTCTCCTGAGAGCTTCAATTTCTTTAACAATCCTGTCACCCTGAAATTAACACAATATATATGTGCCATATGTCAATAAAACATGAAAATTACAAAATAAGCCTCAGAACTTAAGCAAAATCAAGTAGAAGAAGAAAAAGAAGATCAGACTTTTATTTCTAGAACGCGGCTTAAACCTCCTTGAAGTGAGTTCTCCAGCTGCTTTAGTTGTTCAATATCTAATCCTTGAAGATCTTCTCCTTTCATCTGCCTGTTATGGTAGGATCATGTCTTAGTATTACGGCTAATATAAAAATAGTCATTCTCTAATTCGGACATTCTGAATTTTTTTCGTGCGGATTAAAGGCGAGCATTGAATCATTCACTTCAAACCCCATAATCAAAACCAGCAACTAGACGTTTAGCTTTAATCCGCAAGTAAAAAAAAATATATATATATATATTGCATTTAGGCAACAAACCAATATCTAGCTGTGCCTTTTTAATTACCTCAGTTCATGAGTCTTCTCTGCTATTTCCATACTCAACATGGCGTAGGTGCTGCTTTCAAGCTATGCAAACAGTGAATGTTTAATATTAAGTTATTCACCTTTCTAGCAACTTTTCTTCTTTCATTTTTTGTGTAAAGAAAATAAGTTTATCTAAAAGCTTAAATTATATATTATCTAAAAACTTAAACATTCATATTTAAGTCGTTCAAGTTCAATAGAGATAACATATGATGGATAAACCATAACAATTAACAAATGATTCATACTAACTCCATATACCATATACATGCTCACCAATATCAAGTCTTCTAATAAGAACCTACACCAACCCCGTATACCATATACAAATTCACTGGTATTAAACCTTCTAATAAGAATCTGCACAAATCCTATTTACCATATACAAACTCAATAGTATTAAGTCTTCTAAATCAAATCTGCATCAACCCCATGCCATATACAAACTCACTTATGTTAAGCCTTTTAATAAGATTTCACACTAAACAGAATAGATGACACCTAAAATAATTGAAAGCTGAAGTTATATAAAACTCAGAATACTTTGGTTCTAATACAGCGTTGAGAAACCACGTCATTCATTATAAAAGATAGTTTGTGTGCTCCATGGTGTATGAGTTGCATACTTTCGCAGAACAGAAGAGTTAGTTCTTTGGGGTGGATGACTTTGTCAATGCCCGTAGATTGTACTAGGTAACTTTAATGCAATTAGCAAGCCTAGTGAAAAGAGTGGTGGAGCTAACAAATGGAAGTCGGAGTGATTAGATATGAATAGGATGAGCTTAGATGCTAATCTTGATGACTTGAGGAATATGAGGTGTTTCTTTACTTGGAGTAGTCAGAGTAAGAAAAGTAGAACAATTGTGTGCAAGCTTGATAGAGTTCTTGTCAATGATCAATGGGCCTCTTCTTGTTAATGAACAATTGTGTTTCTGACCATAGTCCGGCCATGGTTGATTGTGGTACTCCAAGAGAGGTTAGGAAATCCCCTTTTAAGTTCTTCAACTTTTGGGCCCATGACACTAGGTTCTTGGAAATTGTAGAGTCAGTTTAGAGAGAAAATGCGGATGGTAGCCACATGTACCGGCTAATGACTAAACTCAAGAAGCTTAAAGGAGAACTTAGATTACTTAATCATAAGGAATATTGGTGTATCTTGGATAGAGTTAAAGAGGCTAAGGAATTGCTCTTGGAAGTTCAAAACAAATTGGTTGTCGATCCTTTCAATAAAAACCTTATTAAGGAAGAGAATGGTAAAACATTTAGATTCAAAAGATTGAGTTTGGCGGAAGACTCTTACTACACAAAAGGCGAGGGTTAATTGGCTCAGGGAAGGAGACCAAAACACAGCTTTCTTTTTCAAAACCATCAATGGGAAAAGAAATAAAAATAAGATTTCCTCTTTTGTTCTTGAGAATGGTGAGGTGACTCGAGACAATGCTAGAATCAAGGAGGAGTTTGTGGCATTCTACCAAAATCTTTTTTTGGAGGAGCCTAAAAGAAATTTTGAAAGCCTTGACTAGCTTATAACTCTCTGCATAAGGGATGAAGAGAAGATGTTCACAGAGGCCGAGGTGACCAAGGAAGAGATTAAAAGAACTTTTTTTGAGCTTGGTAATGATAAAGCGGTCAGCCCTAATGGATATGGTGCCTATTTTTTTAAACGAGCTTGGAGCATAGTGAGAGCAGATGTTATGGAGGCTATCCAAAAAAAAAATTAGATCCAGGAAAATCCTAAAAGAAATTAATTGTACAATTATAGCCCTCGTGCCGAAATGTAAGAAACCATCCACTTGTCATGACTTTAGACCAATTTCTTATTACAACACAATTTATAAATGTATCTTGAAGATTATTGCACATACAATCAATAATGCCCTCCCAAGCTTTATTGATCTAGTCCAAGCTGCTTTTGTTAAAGGTAGGAAAATTAGGAATAACATTCTTCTTTAACAAGAGTTTGTGCACCACTATGGGAGGAAATCGGCCAACAGTAAGAGATGTGCATTGAAAGTTGATTTAATGAAAGCTTACAACTCGGAGAATTGGGACTTCATCATCGAAATCCTTAAGAGGTATAGTTTCCCTCCTAAAGTTGTCCATTAGATTGAGGTTTGCATTAAGACATATATGTTTTCCATTGCCATTAATGTGGAGTTGGGAGGTTTTTTTGGTAGCTCTAAAGGGTTGAGGCAAAGGGACTCAATCTCTCCATATCTTTTTGTGATGGTTATGGATGTTCTCTCGCAGATCCTTGGGAAACTGGCTAAGGACCCCAGGTTCAAATTCCAACCGAGGTGTAGTGCAAAAAACATTACACATCTTTGCTTTGCAGATGATCTCATGATTTTTTGTAATGGGGACATATTATCTATTGGGTTAATTAAGCAAGCTTTGGGAACTTTCAAGGTATGGTTGGGGTTGGAGGCTAACGCTAGTAAGAGCAACTTGTTTTGTTCCGGTGTCTCAAAGGAGGAAAAATATAATATTTTGCGAGTTATCAACTTTAGAGAAGGAAATCTCCAAATCCGATATTTGAGCATCCCTCTTATTACAAGTAAATATGGTAATTGCAAAGTTCTTATTGACAAAATTCTTGCAAGTATTAATTCTTGGAGAAGGAAGTTTTTGTCTTATGCGGGACGAGTCATTCTCATCAAAGCTATTTTGTGAAGCATCCAAGTTTTTTGGTCCTAAATTTTCATCCTTCCCTTAAGAGTGCATAAGGAAATTGAGGCCTCCCTTAGGGCTTTCTTATGGTCCGAGTCGGATTTGAAGAAAACTAAAGCAAAGATTGCTTGGAAAGATGTATGTGTTCTTAAGGAAGAAGTGGGTCTAGGCATTATGAGAACTAAGGAATGGAACAAGGCGGCGATGATGAGACACATTTGGAACATTGCCCAAATTAATCCCTCATCGGGTTGAGTCTCTTGGATCAAAACTTATCTTTTTAAGAACAAAAGTATTTGGGAAATTCTCATTCTCATGATTGCTCTTTGACTTAGAAGAATGTTCTTAAGCTTAGAGGTGAGGCTAGGCTGAGAATCAACTGAGGTTGGTGATGTGAGAGATATTCGGCTTTGGCATGATAATTGGCACAATCTTGACCAGCTTGCCCTCAAATATCATCCTCATATTATTTACGAATCTGGTTTATCTAATGATGCTCGAGTTAATGAGATTTGCGATCAAGGTGAGTGAAAATGGACAATAGCAAACTCTTGTGCATTTTTGGAAATGAAAAGGTTGGTTAATTTCAATCCCACCACGAGGGAGGATAGAATTGTTTGGATCCCGTCTATCACTAAGGGTTTCTCTATTAGTTTGGCATGAACCGAAATAAGGATGAGGAAATCTAAGGTTAATTGGTCTCATCTTGTGTGGTTCCCGAAATCCATTCCATGACGTGCTATGATTCTTTGGATGGCTATCAAAGGGAAGCTCAACACAAAGGATAAGCTTGAGAGATATGGCATTTTGCAAACTCTTGTTTTTGTAATTCGGTCCAAGAAACTTTGGATCATCTCTTTTTCTCTTGCCCTTTCTCTAAGACTATTTAGAGTCGGATCCTTGCCATTAGCTTTATGGGCTACAAGGCAATGTCATGGAATGCTTATATTCATGGCTTATCCTTAAATTGGAAGAGAAATAAACTCAAGTATTTTTGGGTGAAGTTGTGTTTTAATGTCACTATCTATTAGATTTGGAGGGAAAGAAACAATAGGGTATTTGGAGGTGAGTGTAAAGATGTGCTAACTATCCACAATATCATTAGGTTAGTGGTAAGGGATAGACAATGGCGCCAAGGAAGATGAAGAAGACCATAGGAAATAGAAGCCTTGCACAAATTTGGGGGTTACCGATGTCTATTTTTTATAGGTGATCACTTTGGGTTTCCGATCTAAGGAATTTGATGATCACTAGATTCCACTTTTATTACGCCACAAAAGGCAGACGAATATTTCGTCACCTCTTGAGGGAAAATAAGCGTCGAAATCAAGTGGAATACCAGATTCTTGTAGATTGAAAGTTTTCGGTCTTGATGGGACCAGTTTACTTCAAATTGCCACTGTTGACGAACATTGACCATCGGTCAATGGTAGTTGACCAACAATAATGCCAATAGCGACAATTGTTCAACACTAATAGTGCCATTTCTATTATTTTTAATTTAAATAAATTATAAAATTATTTATTTAATATATCAATTTAAGTTATTTTGTAATTTGAAAAATTGGTATAACTATATTTGTCAGTTTACAATGGGGAATCAACTTTAGAAATAATCTAATTTTTTAAAGCTATCAATCCTCGCTTTTAGAATCCATTTATAAAATTGATTTTCTTATAATCAGCTTCAAACTTAATATATTTTAAAAGTTATTTACCAAACACCTTTTTTTGTTATCGCTTAGGAAATAATTAATTATTTCTTAAACTACCACATCTCAAACATACTCTAGCCCTTGCATCCACATGCATTATTCTAAGTTTGGATTTCATAAAATATAATTCCAGAGTTTTTGTGCATATATGAATGTTTAATTACAATCATATTAATAAAAGGTGTTCATCTTTGTCAAGAGTACCTGGCTATCAAGGAAAATGCATCCACAGTTATAGCGTTCTTTTGAACAAACTTCTTATACACCCACAAATATTCAACAATTTCAGTACTATGCAGCCCTAGCTCTAACATATTTCTTTTGATTATTATGCGTACAGTTTTTTCCTTCTCGGATATAAATAAGCTTCCTGACTCAAGACTGTTCTACCCATCATGTCTATTCTTATTCCTATTCACACAAACTATAACTATCAACCACCAACCACCAAGTTTATTATTTATACGAGCCTAATCCTCAAGCTTTGCTCAAGTTGCCCAGATTAATTATAATACCAACCCCAACTCCCACAATTATTAATGACACCATGTTTTAATAACCACCAGAGTGAACCTAAGTTGCCAGTCAAACTGGGTTCCAAAGTTTAAAATTCACAATACACCCCCTAAATCTCACTTTTAGTCCCTACAGATTTAAAATTTAGTAACACACCCCAAATACAAATTGACAATCAACTGGTTGACAATGACGACACACAAATGCAATCTCAATCATCCCCTGAGCCATTCCCCAGAAAATCTATCCAAGATTTAGCCAAAATCAAACTCTCACCACCGCTAGTGTAACAACCCTCCCCATCACCACGAAAATACTTCTCTTAACCTCCTGACCAAAACCCATCTCACCCCACCCCTTTTCACCTCGCAAATCACCAATAAAAGTCAATGTTCCCACCACAGGTTTTTTTCGATTTTCGATCGATTCACACTCCGGAAATCACCTCTATCACTACCATTGCACTCACGACCCTTCCTTTCAAAAACCCCAACATCCCACCTTCAATTGTTCATCGATCATCATCCCAATTCTAAGGTTTTCGGTGAATAAGAAATTTGGTAACCCGACCCGTGAAGGCCCCAAGTCCCAGTTCAACCAACCAAGTCGGACCGGATTTTAAAACATTGCTGCACACACCACAGGGTCATTTATTTATAGGCTTTTGGCATGAAGTTCAGAAAATTATATAATGCTTAACCCAAATTAAGCTATTAGGTGAATTTTCAAACATTAATATTTAAATCTAGTAATACTGAAGTTGATTACCTAGCGATGTCAGTTTAGATACTAATAATAACAAAACCGGCGAAATTAACTGAGTTTAGTACATAAATCAAAAACAAAGGCAAACTTTTTTCGGCTATAGATACTAAGGCTCGGCAGATCCTCCGTTTAGAATAAATGGCCATTTATTCTCAGTATTCTTCATTTGCTTCCACATCTAGTGAGGAAAGGTAACCTGCAAGACATTCGAACAAAAGATGAAATTAATGAATATATTTGCCTTATATCAAGCAGGAAGCTAAGCGAAAACAGAAGCACTTTATTACGATGCTGTTTGCATCGTTTTGGGTTGAAAGTGTACAAAGACTGACTATGCATGTCAGTGTAGAATGGTTAGACAGGCGTAACGTGAAAAGTACTAAGAGTATGTGCTGCATCTTGGGCTAGGATGCAACGTGGGTTCATAAAATTTCGGCGCATTTGTTGCGTGGGAATGAAGCAATTTGTCTTGTGGTGTGATCATTAATTTTAGCAGTATCATGGAAATGAAATTTAACAAACTAACCCCAACTTTAAGGAAGTATCAGAACTCTCATTGCAGGTATTGCCTCGTAAATGATTATTCTCTGTCTGCATGTCAAAAAACAATTAAATAATAACAGTTCAATATGTATCTTAAAGACAGAAGAAACAGTCACTCTGAACTAATTAGAAAATAGGAAGCAAAAAGTACAAGGAATTTAGAATCTCTCACTCGCTTTTTCAAGTTCAAGTTCTCCTGCATCAGTTCAGCTCCCTGCATATATTTATTCAATAACATTAATTAAACATATATATGATAAGATTGTGCCGAGTACTTGGCCTAAGAATTTATGCTAGCTTCTGTTTATCTCTTGCTAGGCTGATAAACAATGATCAAAACTCTAACGGCTTTACCTCTATCAATGTGAGTCGCTGCGGATATAACTATGAAATACGGGTGCATGTTTCCTTAAATTTTCTCAGATTAAAGTGTCACTAATTCTGTCTTCATCTGTTTCCTGTTTCCAAAATTATAAACCCTAAATTCTAAAACAAAACCTAACAACAAAGCATGGTTGTGGGAACAATCAAAACAAAGAAAATCTATTTGTACTAAATAAGAAACCTCAATCCCAGACGTCTCTCTTTTGTACTCATTCTAATGAAATAAACAAACAAATTAGGCTGTGTATATGAAACTAATTACATGAACCCAGAACAACTAAGAGTTACATCTCACCTTTCTCCTGAGAGCTTCAATTTCTTTAACAATCCTGTCACCCTGAAATTAACACAAATTATGTGCCATATGTCAATAAAACATGAAAATTACAAAATAAGCCTTAGAAGTTAGCAAAATCAAGTAGAAGAAGAAAAAAGATCAGACTTTTATTCTAGAACGCGGCTTAAGCCTCCTTGAAGTGAGTTCTCCAGCTGCTTAGTCTGTTCAATATAAATCCTTGAAGATCTTCTCTTCATCTGCCTGTTATGGTAGGATCATGTCTTAGTATTACGGCTATATAAAAATAGTCATTCTCTAATTCGGACATTCTGAATTTTTTTCGTGCGGATTAAAGGCGAGCATTGAATCATTCACTTCAAACCCCATAATCAAACCAGCAACTAGACGTTTGCTTTAATCCGCAAGTAAAAAAAATATATATATATATATTGCATTTAGGCAACAAACCAATATCTAGCTGTGCCTTTTTAATTACCTCAGTTCATGAGCTTCTCTCTATTTCCATACTCAACATGGCGTAGGTGCTGCTTTCAAGCTATGCAAACAGTGAATGTTAATATTAAGTTATTCACCTTTCTAGCAACTTTTCTTCTTTCATTTTTTGTAAAGAAAATAAGTTTATCTAAAGCTTAAATTATATATTATCTAAAAACTTAACATTCATATTTTGTCGTTCAAGTAAGTTCATAAGATAACATATGATGGATAAACCACGACAATTAACAAATGTTCATACTAACCCAATACCATATACATGCTCACCATATCAAGTTCTTCTAATAAGACCTACACCAACCCCGTATACCATATACAAATTCACTGGTATTAAACCTTACTAAGAATCTGCACAAATCCTATTTACCATATACAAACTCAATAGTATTAAGTCTTCTAATTCAAATCTGCATCACACCCATGCCATATACAAACTCACTTATGTTAAGCCTTTTAATAAGATTCACACTAAACAGAACGGATGACACCTAACATAATTGAAAGCTGAAGGTATATAAGACTCAGAATACTTTGGTTCCAATACAGTGTTAAGAAACCACCTCATCATTATAAAAGATAGTTTGTGTGCTCCATGGTGTATGAGTTGCATACTTTCGCAGAACAGAGGAGTTAGTTCTTGGGGTGGAAGACTTTGTCAATGCCCGTGGGTTGTACTAGGTAACTTTAATGCAATTAGCAAGCCTAGTGAAAAGAGTGGTGGAGCTAACAAATGGAAGTCGGAGTGCTTAGTATGAATAGGATGAGCTTAGATGCTACTGATGCTTGAGGATAGGGGTTTCTTTACTTGGAGTAGTCAGAGTAAGGAAAGTATAACAATGGTGTGCAAGCTTGATAGAGTTCTTGTCAATGAACAATGGTGTTTCCGACCATAGTCCGGCCATGGTTGATTGTGGAGAGAGGTTAGGAAATCCCCTTTTAAGTTCTTCAACTTTTGGGCCCATGACACTAGGTTCTTGGAAATGTAGAGTCGGTTAGAGAGAAAATGTGGATGGTAGCCACATGTACCTAATGACTAAACTCAAGAAGCTTAAAGGAGAACTTAGATTACTTAATCATAAAGAATATTGGTGTATCTCGGTAGAGTTAAAGAGGCTAAGGAATTGCTCTTGGAAGTTCAAAACAAATTGGTTGTCGATCCTTTCAATAGAAACCTTATTAAGGAAGAGAATGGTAAAACACTTAAATTCAAAAGATTGAGTTTGGCGGAAGACTCTTACTACACAAAAGGCGAGGGTTAATTGGCTCAGGGAAGGAGACCAAAACACGGCTTTCTTTTTCAAAACCATCAATGGGAAAGAAATAGGAATAAGATTTTTGTGGCGAATAGAGTTTGTGTTAGATGATGAAGAATGACAAGTTTTATTTTATTTTATTTTTGCTCTTTTCATGGTGCTGGGCAGCCTTTTAAAATGGTGAAAGATTAACTGTTGGACCTTAAAGCAATGGTTATATTCCATGCAGGAACTACTAATTTTAAGAAAGGCAAAATTGTCATTTCAATTATATTATTATGTACCAAATTGTTGTAAGAAAAGTGTTGCAACTCTTCTTTTGCTTTGAAAAGGGAATATATTCCTATCACTAAAATGTTCCAGTATTATTTCGTTCTTCTATTAATTAATTTATTTGTCATTTTAAAAGGAATATGAAAGATCTGTACTGCATACATTAATTGAATGCATGTGAATCATCCATATTTTATCAACACCAATAAGCAGCAAACACGGAAACCAATTAACGACATCTTAAATGGCAATCATATAACGATTCTCAGCAATCTTTAAACATAAAAACCCAATTAAAAAAAAAAAAAGAACAATAACAAAATGTTCTATTATAATCAATGTTTGACATATTTTTTTGTGAAACAATAGTCGTTTATAATTTCTTAAAATATAAAAATTTAATAATAAAATAAAAAAATATAATAAATAAATCCACGCAACGTGCGGGCGTGCCATCTAGTTATTATACAAGTATGTATTCAAGGTTTAAACAAACACAGAGTGCAACTTAGGGCTAGTTTAGCATAGTTTCAAGTTTAATTAAGAGTGAACAACATTTTCCCACCCAAGGTTTGGCGAATCTACGTGCCCACCCCTAGTTTCATAAATTACAGATTCCCACCCTTAAATTAACAGAAAACTATTTAATATAATAGTTAAAAGGGTAAAATAGTTATTTCAAAGATGAAAATTTCAAAATAACCCTTCACTTCTTAAATTCACCTCACCGAAAAATTTTAAAATAACCCTTGACTTCTCAAATTCACCCCACCGATTTCAGGCCATTCCGGCCTGTTCCCGGCACAGTCGACCTCTCCTAACACCACCATTACAATTCCCTCAACCCCCACATCAAAACCCCTAACCTCCCCGCTTGATTGAACCCCCCAATAGCCGGTCACTGCTCTTAGTTTTAGTCGGCGTTTCATCCAAATTCTAGTAGGTCCCGGCACTAGAAACCACCTCCAACACCACCAATAGCATCACCAGCTTCCCCCTAACATTGCTAACCGCAATTGCCTGCCGATCGCCTCGGCCTCTCCCTTAGGTTTTCCCGTTTTGTCGCACATTTCCAACCAAATTCTGACACCTTGCCGAGGTGCAATCAGATGGAAAAGTTAGAGGTTTTGGTGAGGAGAATAAGAGGATGTTGATGGTGGTGTCAAGGAGGTCCAATGGTGTTGGAATCAGGCCGGATTTTTGGCTTGGCTGGGATCCTTTGGGGGTTATTTGAGAGAAATTTGAGATGTAGGAGTTATTTTGAGAGAAAGTAACGGTGTTAATTTAAAGGTGGGAATTGCAATTTATGAAACCAGGGGTGGGAACTTGCAGATTCGCCAAACCTTGGGTGGGAAAATGTTGTTTACTCTTTAATTAATTAGCTTTTCCCCAAGTTTAGAAATAATCAGCTTTGAAAATAATATGTAATGTGTTTGGTATAAACCTAGGCAAGGACCGGTCCCAACTGGGTCTGGGTCTGGGCCCGATTGGGACTGGTCCCATTTGGGACTAGTCACTCATGGGCCTGGGACCGGTCCCAGGCTTGTGAGAAATTTCAGGGCCCGAACTGGTCCCATGGACCTGAAAAATTTGGTTCCACCCCCAACTTTTTTTATATTTAAGGGGTTAAATAAAATTATGTAGGGGGGTTTATGTAATTTTTAGGGGCCCGGGAAATTTTTTGTACCCCCAGAGATTAGTAAATTTTGTAAAATATCAATTTAACTCTCAATATTTTTGTTAATTTTAAAATTATAGAGGGGTTTTGGATATTTTTCAGATGACTTTTTTGAAAAAATGCAAAGGGGTTTCAAGCTTGGGATTGGTCTCAGGCCCGAGCCTTGGAGGAGGACCTGATCTAGGGACCGTTCAGTCCCTCCTCCATGGGCTTGGTCCAGGTTTGGGACCAGCCTCGTAGGACCGATCCTTATGAGGACTGATCCTAGGACCGATTTTTTGGGACCGGTCCCAAATGCCCAAGTCTAGTTTGGTAAATGTTATTTTTATAATTGATGTGGTTTCAAAATCTATAATTATGTGTTTGGTAAATTAAAATTTGAAATGGTTGTTGTATGTATAATGACCAAAAAAACCTTTTTATTTCTTAACATATTTTTCTAATTCAAAATTTATATAAATTTTGATAATTATTTAAAAATGTGTTAAAATTATTTGTATTAAATAAATTATTAATGATGTCAACCACTAGTCAACGTCGGTCAAACCATTGTTGACCGATGGTCAACGACAGCCAACAGTGGCACGTTTTAGTCACAACTAGTTCCATTGGGACCGGATACTCCCGATCTAAGGAATTTGATGATTCACTAGATTCCAACTTTTATTTAGGCCACAGAAGGTAGACGAATATTTCGTCACCTCTTGAGGGAAAATAAGCGTCGAAATCAAGTGGAATACCAGATTCTTGTAGATTGAAAGTTTTCGGTCCTGATGGGACCAGTTTTGGCTTCAAATTGCTACTATTGACGAACATTGATCATCGGTCAACGGTGGTTGACCAACAATAACGCCAATAGCGACAATTGTTCAACACTAATAGTGCCATTTCTATTATTTTTAATTTTAAATAAATTATAAAATTATTTATTTAATAATATCAATTTAAGTTTACTGTGTAATTTGAAAGATTAGGTATAACTATATTTGTCAGTTTACAACGGGGAATCAACTTTAGAAATAATCTAATTTTTTAAAGCTATCAATCCTCGCTTTTAGAATCCATTTATAAAATTAATTTTTTTTATAATCAGCTACAAACTTAATATATTTTAAAAGTTATTTACCAAACACCTTTTTTTGTTATAGCTTAGGAAATAATTGATTATTTCTTAAACTACAACAATCTCAAACACACTCTTAACCCTTGCATCCACATGCATTATTCTAAGTTATGGATTTCATAAAATATAAATTCCAGAGTTTTTGTGCATATATGAATGTTTAATTACAATCATAATTAATAAAAGGTGTTCATCTTTGTCAAGAGTACCTGGCTATCAAGGAAAATGCATCCACAGTTATAGCGTTCATTTTGAACAAACTTCTTATAACACCACAAATATTCAACAATTTCAGTACTATGCAGCCCTAGCTCTAACATATTTCTTTTGATATTTATGCGTACAGTTTTTTCCTTCTCGGATATAAATAAGCTTCCTGACTCAAGACTGTTCTACCCATCATGTGCTATTCTTATTCCTATTATCACACAAACTATAACTATCAACCACCAACCACCAAGTTTATTATTTATACAGAGCCTGAATCCTCAAGCTTTGCTCAAGTTGCCCAGATTAATTCTAAATACCAACCCCAACTCCCACAATTATTAATGGACACCAATGTTTTAATAACCAACCAGAGTGAAACCTAAGTTGCCAGTCAAACTGGGTGTCCAAAAGTTTAAAATTCACAATACACCCCCTAAATCTCACTTTTAAGTCCCTACAGATTTAAAATTTAGTAAACACACCCCAAATACAAATTGACAATCAACTGGTTGACAATGACGACACACAAATGCAATCTCAATCATCCCCTGAGCCATTCCCCAGAAAATCTATCCAAGATTTAGCCAAAATCAAACTCTCACCACCGCTAGTGTAAACAACCCTCCCCATCACCACGAAAATACTTCTCTTAACCTCCTGACCAAAACCCATCTCACCCCACCCCTTTTCACCTCGCAAATCACCAATAAAAGTCAAATGTTCCCACCACAGGTTTTTTTCGATTTTCGATCGATTCACTCACCGGAAATCACCTCTATCACTACCATTGCACTCATCGACCCTTCCTCTTCAAAAACCCCAACATCCCAACCTTCAATTGTTCATCGATCATCATCCCAATTTCTAAGGTTTTCGGTGAATAAGAAATTTGGTAACCCGACCCAGTGAAGGCCCCAAGTCCCAGTTCAACCAACCAAGTCGGACCGGATTTTAAAACATTGCTGCACACACCACAGGAGTCATTTATTTATAGGCTTTTGGACATGAAGTTCAGAAAATTATATAATGCTTAACCCGAAAGCTTAAGCTATTAGGTGAATTTTCAAACATTAATATTTAAATCTAATAATACTGAAGTTGGATTACCTAGCGATTGTCAGTTTAGATACTAATAATAACAAAACCGGCAGAAATTAACTGAGTTTAGTACATAAATTCAAAAACAAAGGCAAACTTGTTTTCGGCTATAGATACTAAGGCATCGGCAGATCCTCCGTTTAGAATAAATGGCCATTTATTCTCAGTATTCTTCATTTGCTTCCACATCTAGTGAGGAAAGGGCAACCTGCAAGACATTCGAACAAAAGATGAAATTAAATGAATATATTTGCCTTATATCAAGCAGGAAGCTAAGCGAAAACAGAAGCACTTATATTACGATGCTGTTTGCATCGTTTTTGGGTTGAAAGTGTACAAAGACTGACTATGCATGTCAGTGTAGAATGGTTATGACAGGCGTAACGTGAAAAGTACTAAGAGGTTTGTGCTGCATCTTTGGGCTAGGATGGCAACGTGGGTTCATAAAATTTCGGCGCATTTGTTGCGTGGGAATGAAGCAATTTGTCTTGTGGTGTGATCATTAATTTTAGCAGTATGCATGGAAATGAAATTTAACAAACTAACCCCAACTTTAAGGAAGTATCAGAACTCTCATTGCAGGTATTGCCTCGTAAATGATTATTCTCTGTCTGCATGTCAAAAAACAATTAAAATAATAACAGTTCAATATGTATCTTAAAGACAGAAGAAACAGTCACTGTGAACTAATTAGAAAATAGGAAGCAAAAAGTACAAGGAATTTAGAATCTCTCACTCGCTTTTTCAAGTTCAAGTTCTCCTGCATCAGTTCAGCTCCCTGCATATATTTATTCAATAACATTAATTAAACATATATATGATAAGATTGTGCCGAGTACTTGGCCTAAGAATTTATGCTAGCTTGCTGTTTATCTCTTGCTAGGCTGATAAAACAATGATCAAAACTCTTAACGGCTTTACCTCTATCAATGTGAGTCTGCGGATATAATCTATGAAATACGGGTGCATGTTTCCTTAAATTTTCTCAGATTAAAGTGTCACTAATTCTGTCTTCATCTGTTTCCTGTTTCCAAAATTATAAACCCTAAATTCTAAAACATAAACCTAACAAACAAAAGCATGGGTGTGGGGAACAATCAAAACAAAAGAAAATCTATTTGTACTAAATAAAAGAAATCCAATCCCAGACGTCTCTCTTTTAGTACTCATTCTAATGAAATAAACAAACAAATTAAGGCCTGTGTATATATGAAACTAATTACATGAACCCTAGAACAACTAAGAGTTACATCTTACCTTTCTCCTGAGAGCTTCAATTTCTTTAACAATCCTGTCACCCTGAAATTAACACAATATATATGTGCCATATGTCAATAAAACATGAAAATTACAAAATAAGCCTCAGAACTTAAGCAAAATCAAGTAGAAGAAGAAAAAGAAGATCAGACTTTTATTTCTAGAACGCGGCTTAAACCTCCTTGAAGTGAGTTCTCCAGCTGCTTTAGTTGTTCAATATCTAATCCTTGAAGATCTTCTCCTTTCATCTGCCTGTTATGGTAGGATCATGTCTTAGTATTACGGCTAATATAAAAATAGTCATTCTCTAATTCGGACATTCTGAATTTTTTTCGTGCGGATTAAAGGCGAGCATTGAATCATTCACTTCAAACCCCATAATCAAAACCAGCAACTAGACGTTTAGCTTTAATCCGCAAGTAAAAAAAAATATATATATATATATTGCATTTAGGCAACAAACCAATATCTAGCTGTGCCTTTTTAATTACCTCAGTTCATGAGTCTTCTCTGCTATTTCCATACTCAACATGGCGTAGGTGCTGCTTTCAAGCTATGCAAACAGTGAATGTTTAATATTAAGTTATTCACCTTTCTAGCAACTTTTCTTCTTTCATTTTTTGTGTAAAGAAAATAAGTTTATCTAAAAGCTTAAATTATATATTATCTAAAAACTTAAACATTCATATTTAAGTCGTTCAAGTTCAATAGAGATAACATATGATGGATAAACCATAACAATTAACAAATGATTCATACTAACTCCATATACCATATACATGCTCACCAATATCAAGTCTTCTAATAAGAACCTACACCAACCCCGTATACCATATACAAATTCACTGGTATTAAACCTTCTAATAAGAATCTGCACAAATCCTATTTACCATATACAAACTCAATAGTATTAAGTCTTCTAATTCAAATCTGCATCAACCCCATGCCATATACAAACTCACTTATGTTAAGCCTTTTAATAAGATTTCACACTAAACAGAACGGATGACACCTAACATAATTGAAAGCTGAAGGTATATAAGACTCAGAATACTTTGGTTCCAATACAGTGTTAAGAAACCACCTCATTCATTATAAAAGATAGTTTGTGTGCTCCATGGTGTATGAGTTGCATACTTTCGCAGAACAGAGGAGTTAGTTCTTTGGGGTGGAAGACTTTGTCAATGCCCGTGGGTTGTACTAGGTAACTTTAATGCAATTAGCAAGCCTAGTGAAAAGAGTGGTGGAGCTAACAAATGGAAGTCGGAGTGCTTAGATATGAATAGGATGAGCTTAGATGCTAATCTTGATGACTTGAGGAATATGAGGTGTTTCTTTACTTGGAGTAGTCAGAGTAAGGAAAGTATAACAATGGTGTGCAAGCTTGATAGAGTTCTTGTCAATGAACAATTGTGTTTCCGACCATAGTCCGGCCATGGTTGATTGTGGAGAGAGGTTAGGAAATCCCCTTTTAAGTTCTTCAACTTTTGGGCCCATGACACTAGGTTCTTGGAAATTGTAGAGTCGGTTTAGAGAGAAAATGTGGATGGTAGCCACATGTACCGGCTAATGACTAAACTCAAGAAGCTTAAAGGAGAACTTAGATTACTTAATCATAAAGAATATTGGTGTATCTCGGATAGAGTTAAAGAGGCTAAGGAATTGCTCTTGGAAGTTCAAAACAAATTGGTTGTCGATCCTTTCAATAGAAACCTTATTAAGGAAGAGAATGGTAAAACACTTAAATTCAAAAGATTGAGTTTGGCGGAAGACTCTTACTACACAAAAGGCGAGGGTTAATTGGCTCAGGGAAGGAGACCAAAACACGGCTTTCTTTTTCAAAACCATCAATGGGAAAAGAAATAGGAATAAGATTTCCTCTTTTGTTCTTGAGAATGGTGAGGTGACTCGAGACAATGCTAGAATCAAGGAGGAGTTTGTGGCGTTCTACCAAAATCTTTTTTTGGAGGAGCCTAAAAGAAATTTTGAAGGCCTTGACTAGCTTATAACTCCCTGCATAAGGGATGAAGAGAAGATGTTCATGGAGGCCAAGGTGACCAGGGAAGAGATTAAAAGAACTTTTTTTGAGCTTGGTAATGATAAAGCGGTCGGCCCTGATGGATATGGTGCCTATTTTTTTAAACGAGCTTGGAGCATAGTGGGAGCAGATGTTATGGAGGCTATCCAAAAAAATTTTAGATCCAGGAAAATCCTAAAGGAAATTAATTGTACAATTATAGCCCTCGCGCCGAAATGTAAGAAACCATCCACTTGTCATGACTTTAGACCAATTTCTTATTGCAACACAATTTATAAATGTATCTTGAAGATTATTGCACATAGAATCAATAATGCCCTCCCAGGCTTTATTGATCGAGCCCAAGCCACTTTTGTTAAAGGTAGGAAGATTAGGGATAACATTCTTCTTTAACAAGAGTTTGTGCATCACTATGGGAGGAAATCGGCCAAGAGTAAGAAATGTGCAATGAAAGTTAATTTGATGAAAGCTTACGACTCGGTGAATTGGGACTTCATCATCGAAATCCTTAAGAGGTATAGTTTCCCTCCTAAAGTTGTCCATTAGATTGAGGTTTGTATTAAAACATCTATGTTTTCTATTGCCATTAATGTGGAGTTGGGAGGTTTTTTTGGTAGTTCTAGAGGGTTGAGGCAAAGGGACTCAATCTCCCCATATCTTTCTGTGATGGTTATGGATGTTCTCTCTCAGATCCTTGGGAAACTGGCTACGGACCCCAGGTTCAAATTCCAACCAAGGTGTAGTGCCAAAAACATTACACATCTTTGCTTTGCGGATGATCTCATGATTTTTTGTAATGGGGACATATTATCTATTAGGTTAATTAAGCAAGCTTTGGGAACTTTCAAGGTATGGTTGGGGTTGGAGGCTAACACTAGTAAGAGCAACTTGTTTTGTTCCGGTGTCTCAAAGGAGGAAAAATATAATATTTTGCAAGTTATCAACTTTAGAGAAGGAAATCTCCCAATCCGATATTTGGGCATCCCTCTTATTACAAATAAATATGTTAATTACAAAGTTCTTATTAACAAAATTCTTGCAAGTATTAATTCTTAGAGAAGGAAGTTTTTGTCTTATGCGGGACGAGTCATTCTCATCAAAGCTATTTTGTGGAGCATCCAAGTTTTTTGGTCCTAAATTTTCATCATTCCCTTGAGAGTGCATAAGGAAATTGAGGCCTCCCTTAAGGCTTTCTTATGGTCCGAGTCGGATTTGAAGAAAACTAAAGCAAAGATTGCTTGGAAAGATGTATGTGTTCCTAAGGAAGAAGCGGGTCTAGGCATTATGAGAAATAAGGAATGGAACAAGACGGCGATGATGAGACACATTGGGAACATTGCCCAAATTAATCCCTCATCGGGTTGAGTCTCTTGGATCAAAACTTATCTTTTTAAGAACAAAAGTATTTGGAAAATTCTCATTCTCATGATTGCTCTTTGACTTAGAAGAACGTTCTTAAGCTTAGAGGTGAGGCTAGGTTGAGAATCAAGTGAGGTTGGTGATGTGAGAGATATTCGGCTTTGGCATGATACACAATCTTGACCCGCTTGCCCTCAAATATCATCCTCAGATTATTTACGAATCTGGTTTATCTAATGATGCTCGAGTTAATAAGATTTGCGATCAAGGTGAGTGAAAATGGACAATAGCAAACTCTTGTGCGTTTTTGGAAATGAAAAGGTTGGTTAATTTCAATCCCACCACTAGGGAGGATAGAATTGTTTGGATCCCGTCTATCACTAAGGGTTTCTCTATTAGTTTGGCATGAACCGAAATAAGGATGAGGAAATCTAAGGTTGATTGGTCTCATCTTGTGTGGTTCCCGAAATCCATTCCAAGACATGCTATGATTCTTTGGATGGCTATCAAAGGGAAGCTCAACACAAAGGATAAGCTTGAGAGATATGGCATTTCGCAAACTCTTGTTTTTGTAATTCGGTCCAAGAAACCTTGGATCATCTCTTTTTCTCTTGCCCTTTCTCTAAGACTATTTAGAGCCGGATCCTTGCCATTAGCTCTATGGGCTACAAGACAATGTCATGGAATGCTTATATTCATGGCTTATCCTTAAATTGGAAGAGAAAAAAGCTCAAGTATTTTTTGGTGAAGTTGTGTTTTAATGTCACTATCTATTAGATTTGGAGGGAGAGAAACAATAGGGTATTTGGAGGTGAGTGTAAAGATGTGCTAACCATCCACAATATCATTAGGTTAGTGGTAAGGGATAGACCATGGCGCCAAGGAAGATAAAGAAGACCATAGGAAATAGAAGCCTTGCACAAATTTGGGGGTTACCGATGCCTATTTTTTATGGGTGATCACTTTGGGTTTTGTGGTATTGGTGGTGGTGGGGTTCTAGGACAATGTTGTTATTGAGGCTTTTTGTCGAGCACAGGGTGGCAATGAGAGTAGGGGTGTTTTATTTTTTTTTATTTTTTTTTTTTTTTTATCTAAAGAGTTGGGTTGGTCAAGGCAAGCCCTGGGGGAGGTTTTCATCCTGTGGGGAATAGTGGAAGGCAGGCCTTGAGGCAACTATCTTTTATATGGTGCAAGCACGAGCACGCACACGTAGTGCTGGACGTGCCAGTTTGTGTGCGTCTACAACAGTGGCGTATCAGGTGGTTTTTTTTGAGTTCTTTGCCCACTTTTCAGTCATTTATGATTTTTTGAATGTTACTCCAACCCAAGGTATACAAAAAAAATATACATATATATATAATTAAAAATTATTTTGCTCAGTGCCTTGGGCTATTGTCACTACAGATGGAGTCTTTGCCATTTTCGATTAGAGGAGAGCTGGTTTTTTGGTTTTTTTGGCCTTTTTGGGCATTGTCTTCTGGCTTTCTTGATTTTTTTCCTAACCCGAGGCATGTCTCGAGGTAGGAAATGATTTTTGTGTTAATACCTAGTCTTGTATAGGCCATTTTTTTAGGTCCTAACCCAAGGACTTGTCTTGAGGTAAGCTGGCCACTTTTTATAGGCCTTTTATACATTCTTTTTCTCTTTTCTAATGAAAGCTTACTTACCCCAAAAAATAAAAAAATAAAAAAATAAAAAAATAAAAAAATATACTACAATTTAAGACTTCAACATTAATATTTAAATATAACAATAAATAAATGTTAAACAATATATAAAAGATAAATCAATGAGCTAAATACTCATAAAGTGGGTGAAAAAAGAGATTCAAAGATCGATGGGCAATAAATCTTTATAATATAGTAAGAAATACTGTGTGAAAACAATCTTTCATTCCCCCAAATCAAAAGAAAGTGAAATATGAAAAAAAAAAAAAAAAAGAACTTCGTGTCTTAGAAAAAAAAAAAATAGATAATCTGTTTCTAGGTATATAATCTAAAGAGAGCTAAAAGGACATCTCCCAGCAGTTCCAAGTTCCAACCTTCTCTTATGAAAAGCAAAACATCCTAAAAACCTGAAATGAATTATGCTTTCAATTAAGCAAACTAAAGGTAAATGAAGTTTGAATTAATATCAACTTATCTTACTTCCACGATTTCTACTATTAGTTTTCTACAAAAAGAAACAGCCTTAAATCTAAGTTTTCGTAACTATCTTATATGCTCAACTTTTCATACTTAGTACTTTTAGATATAGTAAGAAAAACAGTAAACTAGATATAGTTATTTTCAAAAATATAATTTTCCTTTATATTATATTCCAGGTTTACACTTCTTATTTATAACATAAACGAAAAGAAAAAGAATCTTTAAAACTAAAGATTTCTGTAATACACAGTTCCTTTGGGGACTTTTAAATCTTTTTAACTTTTCTTTCTGCTTGTAGAAACCATTTTCCATGCTTTTCAATGATCAGTCTATTTCAAGTTTTTCTAATGTACACTTCCTAAGTTTTGATGAGGTTTAAAATTTATGGTCTAGGATTAACGATATATGAGAACATTCTCCTTCACACGTTGATAGCCAACCCAACCAATATACTGTGGATATATATCTTTTTTTCCTTTTTACCATGTGATAACTCTCACCTACTTGAACTTTATCTTTTCATAAACTAATATAAGTAACAGTTGTTATAACCAAGTTGACAGAAATTGATTGAATGCAACGTTAGGTCTTTTCAGAAACAAGTCATCAATCATTCTTGTTTGATAATGATAACATGCTACTCAAAGTCATTACATAATATATAGAATAAATCTATGAATATTACATTGTACCTGCAATTCGAGAGATGGATGACCTATTTTGTAGAGGCGCTGAGATTGTACATTGTTATACCTTTCTATTATCTGCTTCATACTTCATCTCAAAAGAAACAGATAGCATTGTCACTTGTTGAACTACATAATCTTAAAAGATAACATTTGTATAACAGGTCTTTGGAAAGCAATATCAAAGAATAACAGTAGTTTTAAATTTCACTATGACAGATTTAGGTTTAAATATTTCTATGATTTCCCATTGGTATAATTATAATTGATAGGATTTTAGTTGATATTTGGATATCATGGTGCCACTACGGTGGAATTTCATTGCTACAAATCAATGGAGTAACATCAAATGAGAATTCTTACTTGTTCTCTAATCTCTCCCTTACTCAACAAAGATGTAACAACCCAATTGAATCCCATACAGTTAAGCTAAGGCTTGATAATTAGGATTATAAGCACTTGGGATTATTAGTTTATTGAGATACTTTTATTTACGTATTTTGTAAATTGATATGATGTAATTAGACAAAAAATATATATATATATATATATATTGATATCCTATCAAGAAATAGTAAAAAGTCATGCATGCCATAATATTATTTTTATATGATAAGAAGTAATAGATGCATTCAAATAATTGATAACACTAATCATGATGTTAAGTATTGGCATTCATGAACCCCAATTGGTTATAAAGTTTGGTTTAACACTGGCAAATCAATCAATTGGGTTTTGTGCTATAAAGGTAATGATTAATGAAATCTCCCATACGAATACTAGAAGTCATTGACGTATCTTACTCCTAATATTTTATTATTATAATATATTTATATTATTTAGTATCTTATTATTTAATTTTGATCTTAATATCTTATTTATCACATAAAATACTAGTTATGAAGGCTATGTTGAGTTTGATCTGTCAAATTGAGTCTATTGAGCTTGTTTTTCTTTCTTCATAGCTACTAGCATCAAGTGGATCCAAGATTATTAGAATGTATTAAACATACCCTATCAAGTACGATTTCAGTACTAGAGGGTAGACAATGCTAGAGTGTATGTAATACTTTTCAATAGCAATGGTAGGTGTGAAAGTTAGCTCAACATAAGGGTTGTTAAGTGACAAAATTCTATTATGGAGTTCAGTTTGAATGTTGGGCGGTAAAGCTGAGCAAGAAGACGAAACCTGAATCTGCCAAACTTAAAATTTTTTTTCAAGTCAGTGAACTTTCGGTTGAAATAGGCAACAACTTGTTTGTGTAAGAGGACATAATTCAAGAAGGATTAGGCCGGTTAGAGTTTCCTTGTAGGGATAGAATGAGCAAACATTGCATCCGAATTGGAAAAGGTTAGGTTCTTTATGCCCTACTAGAACTTTGAAAAGTCTTTGTAAACCATAGCTAAAAGACTTCACAAACACTTACATGGTTTGAAGCAAGCTCCCGACTTGATAAACTAAAGTATGTTTTGTTGTAGTGAGGAATTCAGAATTTCATATATGATAACAAACTCTTAATATCCGATGCAAAAGTAGTACATGTATACTTAGTAGTCTATACTGATGACATGTTTTACATCTTTTTTTAAATTTTAACACAAAATTCTCTCAAAGTATTGGGGTCATTAATTTACATGGTTTTGAAACTCAAAGGTTATCTGTTACCTAACTTTATCCTAACATAAGTACATTACTGACTTGCTGCACAAAACTAACATGGCAAATACTAAAATGTCAAACTCTCAATGCATAATGAAACATTTTTTTATTAGTCCTCTGTTTATAAAAGCTCCACAGGAGCTTTGCGATACTTAGCTATAAAAAGACCTAACATTTCATTTTTTGTGAATAATTAAGAATTTGTAAGGCCCTATAGCAGTTTGTTGACAAGCTTTTAAAAGGGCATTAAGATATTTGAAGGCTAATATAAACATGGCTTAATTTTTAAATTTGCAACTAATTTGATGTTGGAACTTGAAAGGTAATAGCATGCTAATTGAGCCCACAATGTTTTTGATAAAAGATTAGCATCATGTTATTGCATATACCTCAGTGATAATTTGATAAAGTGGAGCTCAACGAAACTAAAAGTGATTGCCAAGTCATCAGCAAAATCATAATAGAGCTCTTTATTTTAGGTTACTAAAAAAAATATAGCCATAAAGCTTGTTTGGATAGAACATTGAAGCTAGTTCTCCTGTTGGAAATATAATGTTTTATTTTAATATTAAACATGTTGAGATTTTGAACTGGGGTATTAGGCTACGGAGAATCAAGTGGCTAATTTGTTAATGAAACCTCTCTTAGCCTTTCTTTCATGCCTTTAAGAGACGAACTCATTCCTCTTTGCATATCAATATCACTCTAGGGTTAATCTTGATAAGAGAGACTATTATTGTGGTCAGTACAACTTAGTACTTAGTAGTCTATCTACTACACCTCTGTACTTTTTATAATCTAAACTAGTTAACATAAGCTCACATGAGTTGCATGAATATATGAATTGGCTTGACAGGTCGGTTTCAATTGAAAGTAAGTTTGACATGTCAGTTTAACTTTGTTAAAGTGTTCTTTAGAGCGTAAATATTTAGTTTTAGCCCTTGCACTACTGATATAATACAATCTTGTATATTAAATCATTAAGAATTACTAGATTTCTTGTTCCAACTATTTCAAAATAGATTTTCATTCATTATATTAAGGTAGTCATTGTAATGTTTGGTGGCTCATTATAGTGTTTCTAGGATGATAAGTTCATATGGGAATTGTGGCTAACAACTTGGTGTAAGGGAAAAACAAGAATTTGGTACAGTAGTAGATTTGCTATAACGAATCCTATTTTTCTGTAGTGAATCCAATTTTCTACAAGTTCGTTGTAGCAGGTTTTTCACTGTCAAGTTCGTTCACCGTAACGAAAGCCAAGTATGTCGTAGTGAGCCATAGTTCGCTGTAGCTAATGAGGATTTGGCAATTGTGATATTTGCCTACTTTGGAGGAATTACTTCCTAGTTTTGGAGAATGATTGCTTAGGAAGAATCCTCATGGGTTTGTATCTCCTAAAGAAAAGTTCCTAATTAGTTTGAATCATTTTGGAAAGTCCTTGTAAAGGAAGGATACAATTAATACAAGTAATACTACTTCTCCAAATAATCTTCAACTACAAAAAGAGTCTAAATCCTAGAATAAGCATATTAGAGCATTAAACACCAAAGAGAGAGTCTTTAAGAGAGTTAGTATTCCTCTAGTGAGTGAGTGGTTACAATCTCCATAGAGATTAAGGATTGTCACTACGGTTGTGTGGAAGGTTTTCTACATAAGGGTTTGTGATTGTAAATCTCTATAGGGTTGAGTGTGTGAGCCAAGGGCGGATCTGTGTTGAGTGAGAGAGAGATTAGAGAATAACTTGTATTCTCATCTTATTGTACTCCATTGATATATAGTGAAGAAACTCTATTGTAGTAGCACCATGGATGTAGCTAGATTTAGGGTGGACCACTTATATCTTGACTCTTCTTTATTTTATGTTAATTTCTTATTACTTCTGTGTGTTGTTTTGTCAAGTCACAAAGGGCTTGATCTTTTGGCTTGTTTTTCCACTGTGTAATTTGACAACAAATCAGTATCTTAGGGTATCAATTTTACAACACTCATATCGTATCATTAAGTATGAATTGTATTCATAACTAAAATTACTTGTGTAATTATAGTCATAAGCTATTTTCACACTTGATTATATTATTATAGTGTTTGGCTAAAATCCAAAATTATGTATATTACGTTTGAACAAAAAAGATGAAGATCATTAGACGATGAATAAAATTATGTCTTTTTTTTTTTAATATAAAATATGATTAGAACTAATTTTGTTTAAAATCTTAACACATCTAAATGACTAATTTTTAATGATATGTTTGTTTTTAAATTTTTTATGGTCAAATTTTAAGTAATAAGTTGTTTGTTTTTGGGAAGAAAACAGATCTTACAATTAACATTTAAATATATACATACTCATTTGATGTTTAATGTAGCCTTTTCTAAACAATGTTCTTAGTACTTAAAAAATATATGAGCCAGTATATAAGTTAACAAAACAATACACAAAATCAACATTTTTAAATCTTTTGAATTAATATTTTTAACCAAAAATAAAATAAAAATGATTAAATGTGTCAAATAGCTAATTTGCAATTGATTGTAATTCAATGTGATAAAGAACGAGTAATATTTAAATCTTAAACAATGTTAGTGTCGTTGCACAGATAAAAGCGTTTCTTTTAATGGGTATGGATTTAATTATGTTAGTTTCAAACAGTTTTATGAAAACAGATAAAGACTTTTTTTCACTAAATGAGAAGTAAAAAAATATTAGTTTTTCAATCCATTAATTTATCTAAAAGTTTGCTATCAAGTCAAAAAGAAACACCTTCAATCATTTGAATGACTTAAGTCATATTCAGACTTCGATTAAAAAATAAAAAAGTCTGGAGAGAGTCAAGAGTGTATTTTAGTGAAATAAATATTTTCAATTGTTTGAAGGTCACACATTTTAGTGAAGGACTACATAATATTAAATGTTTTTATTTGTATAGTTCCTAAATTTGTTTGAGTTGTCAAATATCACAAGTTCAAATCTGCACATCTCAATTGGATAAATAAAAAATAAATAATCCAAATTTCATGTAAGGAAACTTCTTCGTCTAAATATAATGTTGAACTCCTACATACTAGCTTAAGCTTTTATGTAAGTAGTAACTTGAATTTTTTTTTTTTTTTTTTTTTTTTTTTTTTTTTGTCAGTTTGTTAACTATCACAGCTTTTTTTCTCTTATTACAATTTTTTTATTTTGGCAAAAAAAAAAAAAAAAAAAAAAAAAAAAAAACCCCGCACACACATATAATTATATATAGTGCTCAATGTCAAAGAAATATTGTTTTGGATTTATCAATTAAACTGGTCATTAAAGCAACCTTAAACTTCTTCAATGGCCTATGTACTTCTACAAAAAATGCATATTAAAGAAAAATGATAGTAGATCATAAATCCACTGCTACAAAAATAACCCATCTAAAAAGGGGGTATCTCATAAT